ATAATTATTAATAATATATACTATTATTAATATATATTTAAATTTAAGAATCTATATCTCTTTAATAAAAGATTATAATATAAAGATTTTCTCGCTATCGATATCTATTAGAGTAATTATTTTATACTTTTTATTTAATATAATAATCTCACTTTTTAATAATAAAGAGCGAGGTTATTATTTAATTAATAGCGTATTTAATACTATAATAATAAGTATTAAGCTTTATTTTTTTCTTTACTTAATCTATAATTATATACTTTATTATTTATAATATAATTTAAATATTTAAAAGAATTCTTATAATATTCTAACTACTTATAATTATAATATTATATTTTAATAAAAGATATTTTAGACTTAATATAAGAGTTATTATCTTTAAATTTAATTTATATAAATTTTTAATCTTATAGCGTTAAAGAGAATAAACTCTTCTTTTAATCTTATTAATTCTTTATATATTATTTCTTAAACTTTATATATTATTAATTATTATTTTTCTAATTACTTATTTTATTATTAAAATAAATCTTATCTAAAATAAAAAGCTCTTTTATTTTTTATAATCTTTATTTTATATCTTAATATTATTATAATAATATAATATAGATAATAGATTAAATAATCTTCTTTATAGCTTTTAAAGAAATTTTCTCTATTACTCTATCTTATAAAGCTTTTATATATTTTAGATTAATTATATAATAGTCTCGCTATAATTAAAGTATAATAAGATAATTATTAAAGCTAGCTATTAATTATATATTTTTTATAATTACTTTAATTAATTAATATTCTATATTATAAAACTTAATAACTAGATTATAAACTTAATTTTAAATATTATTCTTTATATTTCTCTTAGATAAATTCTCTAATATCGCGTAATATCGTATTTTTAATATTTCTTTAAATCTATTTCTTAGTATTTATTAATAGAATAAAAGACTAGCGAGTCTTTTCTTTATTTATATAAAAATTAATATAAGATATTAAGACGATAAAATCGTTATAATTTTAAAGAAATATAATTATCGAGCTATAGTTATTAAAATACTATATATTAAATACTTTAATAATACTTATCTTTTTATAGCTTAAATTATAATAATAATTATCGCTATACTTATAGCGATATTTTTATATATTCTATATTTCGATTAATTTAAATTTTTCGATAATTAGTTATTTTTTAATATTAAGCTTTAAAAGTCGATAGCGTTAAATTTAAATTAAGTCTATAAAATAAGAGTCTTTATTTATAAATAGAGAGTTATTAGATATAACGCTTTAGCGATTATTATTTCTATTAATAGTATTATTAGAATTTTTATCGATATTAGAATTAATATTATAATCGCTTAATTATATAATAGACGTATTTTAATAAAAGTTATTTACTAAGTTAAAAATCTTACTAATTAGTTATAATAAGATATTTTTACTTTATAAATTAATAGAATTAACTCGCGAGTTACTTATTATAGCTAAATTAAATAGCTTTATATAAATAGAGTTATTAGAATTATAAGATAATAAGATTTCTTTTAATAAAACTACGTAGTAGCTATATAATTATAAGATTTAGATATATAATTAATAGAATAAATAGATTAATTATTAGATAAATTAATAATTAAAGAAGAAAGAAGAGAAAAGATAACTTATAAGTATTTAAGACTTTATTAAATATATTAAATACTCGCTTTAGCTACGTAGCTTATAATCTAGTAAACAATATAAGCGAGTCTATTAATTCGCTCTAAGTACTTTTACTCTTATAACGTAATATTAAAATATCTACTTCTTATTAAAATTCTATAATAATTGAATATAATAATAATAATATATATCTTACGATCTATATAGATATATAGCTACTTCTCTTAGCTACTATAAAGTAGATATTAATATTAAATAGCTTATTTACTTACTAATAGCTAAGCGAGCTTTTTCGTCTCTAGCTAATCTATTATTCTTTATTCGAGATCGCTTAGCCTTAAACTCGAATAATAGATAATAATATATATTAATTACGATGTTTATAAGTATAAAGCTTCTATAATTACTATAAAGTTATTGCTATTAATTAAAAAGTAGGCTATAGTTAAGATAGATAGTTCTAAATTCTTCTATTAACTATTGCTTAGCCAATAATAGGCTAATTCATATTATTTAAATTCTGAACTATACTATAGAATATACCCTATAATTTATACTCTTTCGAATATAGATTTTAATGCGTTAGGGTAGGCCAGGCTATATTTTAGTAGGAAGTAGACATTTTAATATTACGCCGGATTTATCGGATTTAAAAAAACTGCATTTCCTAGTAAACTGCGTTTCCTAGTGATAATAGATATATCCGCGTATTATATTAAATCTTACTTCACTTTTTATCTCCTAGTATACTTATTTTCTCGCCTCTTAGCTTATCTCTCCGCTTAACTATATTCGTAATGCGGAGGAAATAGAGGCTGCAGGTTAAGGATAGGTGTATGGAGTATATAGCTGTCCAGGGATTTAGCCATGAGGGCATGGCCTTTCTGACGGAAGATTATCGAGATCTCATGGATCCAAGGAGACAAGATATCGATCAATCATATCTCTCCCATTGCTACTAGAAATACGCCTAGCATAACTGGATCTACGCCCACTATAGCAAGGGAAGCAATTACAGCCATGGAGAGCATTGCGGAGAAGGATTGGATCATCTTTCTCTTATCGCTACTAGAAATACGCCTAGCATGACCGGATCTACGCCCACTGCAGCAAGGGGAGTAATTGCAGCCATGGAGAGCATTGCGGAGAAGGATTCGAAGAAGTAATGTTTTGATAGCATGCGAATAGCCTCATCTTTTTCGGTTTTTGCCAGTGTCGGTAACTCAACACTCGCTACCACTAGTACTCATTCGGCCTAGTCATTGGTATATGAAGGCCTTCCCTGTACATAGATATCCTTCTTCGATAGACATCATTAAGAATACCATATCTAGTGATAGGTCTCATTATAGCAGTAACTGCATACCCAGGTATTTACCAACAGGATGCGAGCCACAACACTAGACAGTCTGATAGAGTCTGTATGGCAAGAACCTGCGGTTATCATGTGTTCGCGTTGGCCGTTGCATTTAGCGACTGGCTCTGTGACACTTTGCGGCTTCTGGCAACCCGTGGATCAACTTTGCGATATGCGCTGAGGGGCAATACAAGTGGCACAGACTTAGTTCCCAACTTTACCTTCATTCTTTTGGTCGTTGTCGGTTCTATCCAGGTGCTGCAGGTACTTGGTAAAATTGCTCCAACATGAAATCCTTCTCAGTTTCAATGGCGGTTTCGCTCTACTGCTCCGCCATGGCCTGTGGATTCACCACCCTCAATCCCATCGTACTGAACCCAAACCACACCGCCGTACAAGCTAGGTGAGCACATCGGATTTTCCTGCTCGCAGAACAAAAAGTTGATCAGGCAGTATGTCAAATCTTACGGCAAATTACCGAATCATACCCCAAAAGTATGGATCCTTACCGAATCATACCCCTAATTACTGAATCATACCCCTACACCAAATTTCACCCAAATATGGGGTATGATTCGGTAATTTGCCATTGCTTGGGGTATGATTCGGTAAGTTGTTAAAGTGGCCTTAGGGCCCCTTCGGTAACCACATATTTTCAAAATATGCCAACATATATTACCCCACCTCTTGGCAAATGAATGTGGGCTCAAAATAGCACTAGTAGACACTTGAAAATATGTAAAATATAGGTACGGTTTCGTTCGGTAACCCTGTAATCCCGCTGAGTAAGGATCGAAAGTAGGATAGTCGAAAAATTCTTTCTAGTCAGACAATTGCCTTCCTACCTACCATTCAACAGTCTTATGACTGATATACCTGCTACTGCTGCACTGTAGAATGGCCATTAAGGATTTCTTTGGTATAGGCATAGCCAGATAGAATAGACGTTCTCCGCATTTGCTTGTTATAATGGGAAGAATAGTACTGAGCAGCAGTAAGAACGACACTTGCAGCTACCTCATCCATGACTGAAATATAGCTATTACAGTTATGAAATGTGGCTACAGGCTATCAGTCATGAAAATGAAAAATATCGCTATTGCAGTCATAAATGTCCATTATTTCTGTGTGCTCAGCGCACATTGGGCCTCAAATTATGGGTCAACCCATAATTTACATATTTTTAATGTGCAATGTGGCCTGGCAAGTGAAAATATGGTTACCGAACGTAACCGTGTATTAATAGTACGCTAAGTTGAAAATATGTTGGCATATTTTGAAAATATGTGGTTACCGAAGGGGCCCTTAAACTACGAAGGAGATAATCCGCGATCTGACTTATTCGATCACAGAAATACGGGAGTTTCTCCGATCGCATTTGATGAGAATTCTATCAGCCTAAAAATATCAGACGAAAGCCGAGTGGGCGAAATTTTGAGCCCGGGGGTGTCCGCACTTCACGCTGTAGACACCCCTATTCGGGTCCCGTAGGGCCCCGTGAGGCCCCCGAAGGAAGAACTCCTACTACGCTGCGCAACGGGGCGGGGTAAGCTTCGGGGGTTAAACCCCGCCCCGAACCCGCCCCGTTACGCAGCGTAAATACCACCGTCATCAATAATCAAGTCTACGAGTACTACTAAATGTGAGCTCAGTAAGCTTACCGCTATCATTACCTTCATTAAATTCTCTCATATCAGAAAGCTATTATTTAAGACCCTTATCAAATCATACCCCAAGCAATGGCAAATTACCGAATCATACCCCATATTTGGGTGAAATTTGGTGTAGGGGTATGATTCAGTAATTAGGGGTATGATTCGGTAAGGATCCATACTTTTGGGGTATGAATTAGTAATTCGCCTCAAATCTTACCGCAAGACCCGACATTTCCGGTCTTCGCCCCGAGATAACCTTCGATACGACAAAGCCCCTGTTCGTATTCGGTATCTACGGGCACATCCTTGCGCTTATGTCTACAATGGCTCAAGCAAGTTGGGAGGGCTGGATCGTCCACAAGTACGTAATAGGCCTACCTGGGGGTACCGCCGTCAAGATTACCCTTACCCCTACAAGCACGACTGGACCACCAGAGAGACCTTCTAGTCTGCAGAACGGCTACGCGATCGTCAGTCTCTATGATCTCGGCATCGCGGTAGCCAAAGAGAATAAATTTTACACCGCCAATTGTGACATTGTGGTCGTGGGCGTCAAGACTGGGAATATAAAGGTTGAGGAGCGGACAGAGGAGCGGACAGAGGAGCAGCAGGGTGCCCTCTTGGAAGATGGTCTGACACTGGTAGATGGTCCGTTGAATTTGACAGATCTATCAATTCCTGCAAACCACGATTTAGCTGCGCTGCCCGTAGGCCCTCGTTCGTATTCGAAGGGGAATTTCAAAATCGAGTATGAGTATGACGGGGCGAGGATTTCCCCTACAGATATCTTCACCGCATGCCTAGACGGGTTTGCGACTAGTGCGCCGCACCCAAGCACAGACGTCGCCGCGGCTGTCAGTGCGCGAAGCCTCTCGAATGATTGCGCGATCAATATGCGCGGGGTGGGCTTACCTTCGAGATTTACTTGGGATCATGTCATAAGGACGTTCAGTATATTGTTTGTCAATATCATGCTTGGACTGAGAGCTTTTGGTGAGATGAGGTTTTCCATCTTTCTCGACAGCGCGCAGATTGGTACGGGATTCGTCCTCAAGCCGCAAAGGTTGGCGCAGAATGGCACAGAGAAATAACGAGTTCATAGTAAGAGGGGTCTGAGCATCGCTATGGTGCCATCTTCATATGCGTTGGCCGTGGTTCTCAAGTCGTCTGGCGCCGGCAACGAACTTCTTACTCAGCGATCGATGTGTTTTACTTGCGTCCACTTTGGTGGCCTAGCAATACTTGATCCAAGAAGCGGCCGCCGAATCAGGCTCACACATCTGCAAAGTCGCCCTCAGCAACTGAGCATCTCTTCTCTGGACTGTCGATTTTTTCGATTTTTCCGCTTTATTTCCCTTTCCGAGAGGAGGCACTGCGAATCGGCGTGTAATGCTCACTGAGGATGTCTTTCAATGCACCGTAGTTGACAAGCAGGGCCCAATTTCATTGACGCTGGAGATTGGGTATATGCACTCGTATGAGTATTGAAGACCCGCCATGTCGGCGATGGCGAGCTGCAATGTGAGGCACAGGGCTTTGCTGAAGAGGATGAAGGTTGTGACGGTGTCGAGGCTGATGATCTTCTCTAAGAATGCATTTCTTTCGCCACGATCGATACCTTCGTTGTTGGGTAGCAGTGTTAATTGTTAGTTTGTGGGATGTTTATAGTCAGACTAGGAGTCGAGTTCTGGAGGCCCATGCTTGCGGACCTGGTCTGTGTTTAATGTAAGACAGGGTTATCGAGGGCATTGAAGAGGGTGTGAGAGACTTGCCTTATATAAGTCATTTCAAATTTTAAGAAGAGAGGAGAGCCGATTGAGCATGATGGAAAAGTATAAAATTTGAGACAAAAGATGTTTAGCCACACTGTTGTTTGGAAGATCGAGGCTAAATTCTGCATTGTCGAGATTCGTGATATGAATTGATTTCTAACCCTTGGTTCTTCTAGAGGACGGGTCAGTGAAGCAAGGGGGCTGGGCATGTATTGATTCCCTAAAATCCTAATATCATTTGTAACTTCTACCTCACAGCCTGCAGAGATTCGCAGCAGATTTACTGCACGTTAAGATTTACTTTTTGACCTCCAACGGCCAATGCAGCTACCAAAGCATCCGCAGCAGAGCTCTGCGTTGATGCAGTTGCACCCATGAATGGACCAGACCAGAGAAGCCCCAATTGATTGCCAGAACCGCGATCATTGAGCCATATACTGTTGGCATTTTCGTTGATGAATGTCTTGAATCGATTGTTGGGAATCGCCAATTGCAATTTCTGAAGATTGCGCATGAAGATTCCTTTGAACTGAGGACCATCAGCTCCACAACTGGGCTCGCATGGATCGCGGAGAATTCCACTAGGATCACTCAGAAACTTGATACCGGCGAGAGCAATTCGCTCGGCCATGATAAGATGGGTTTTGTTAGGGGCTGCCGTGTAAAGCTCCAATAGCCCACCGAGTATGACACCTTGATTGTATGACCATACGATACCATTGTCGTTTCGACACGTTACGAGGTTGATCCCGTTGTTAATGTTGTAGTGTGCATTGATCATGCCGGTGCGCTGGAACCAGTCCCACTCCTTCCACGCCCAGTAAAGATAATATTCCTTATTCGACGCTCTGTTGGCAAGCTGAGCAGCCACTGTCAGGAACAGCGCATTCTCAATTGCACCTTTGTATGAGTGCTGCTTGTTCCACCATAGACCCCCACAAGTGCCACCCCAGCCTTTCCTCATGTCCTCGAAGATGTCAATAGCAGCCTGAAGGTACTGTTGCTGCTTCGTGAGATCGTAAACTTGGAGCCAAGCAAGCCCCCACCAACCTTCATCATCATAGAAGTCATTGAGAAACCCGGCAAAGCCGTTTTTAGGGGGAATGATCCAAGGCGGGAACTTTGGTCCTGTGTATGTAGTCACAGAGTACGGTGTCATGACTTTGATGGTCTCGAGACTTGTCTTTTGAGCCCGTGAAAAAGTGTTCTGAAATACATGCCCAGCAACAACATCGAGTGATGAGTCGACCCAAGCAAAATCGGCAAGCATCGTCAAGGCATTCGCACTGTTCCACCATCCTGTCGTTTCCCACAGGCCGGTGGTCTCGTTGTACCATTGCTGCAAGGCAATGATAGCGGAATGGGCATGAAAGACATTGGGCTCATAGCTGGTAAGTACTTGCCCATCAACTCCAGCAGGACTGCCAAGTACAGACAAAGCGTACATGTACAGAAAGAGCAGGAAGGGCCAGCCAAGTTGCATCTTCGGAATACAGCGCTGGTATGCCCTATTTCACCGCGAGACTGTTTTGCTGCTTGGAAACGTCCTGACAAGCTTCCTTTTGAAGGGATGAGTGTACTACGGGCACTTATGATGGACATGATGGAGATTTGGGAAGAAGGTACGAATACGGTAAAGATCGAAAATCGCAAACCGCAAAACGAAGCTTACCGGAAGTGGACAAGTGCACTTGGCGTTCTCGAAGTGCTCTCTTTTCGCACATTCTGTTGTACATCGCTCGAGACTCTAAACGTCTAGAGTATAGCTCAAATCCTTCGGTCTCATGACTTGTGAAAAGTCTATACGGGTAGGCTTCGGTCCCACCACGGGTTTAAGAGCACTTTGCGACTTGTCTTTCCTAGTGCAACATCTCAAGTTTGCTGCTATCTTCTGCTAAAGCTTACCACAGCACACCAAGAGTCCTCATGTCTCCTCCCAAAGTCGCCATCATCGGCGCAGGTCCCGCCGGAAGCACCCTCGCCCGTCTCCTCATACGCGCCTCCATCCCCGTTACCATCTTCGAGGGGGAATCCTCCATGTCGGTTCGGGCGCAGGGGGGAACACTAGACCTGCATACAGGCACCGGGCTCAAAGCCTTGAAAGAAGCGGGCCTATTCGAAGAATACGCACAGTACGCTCGCTACGACGGCGAAGCGATCAACCTGGCGGACAAGAATTTAGTCAGCCTGATCAAAGTTGGAGGCACGACGCAGGCTTCGAGTCGGGGAAGACCAGAGATTGATAGAGCTCGGCTCCGTCAGATCCTGGTGGATTCGTTGCCTGAGGGAACAATACGGTGGCATTGCCGGCTACGGAGCGTAGACGCGAATACCCTATCCCTGCACTTCGACCATGGAGTCGAGACGGGGTTCGATCTCCTCATTGGTGCAGATGGTGCCTGGAGCAAAGTACGGCCGATACTCACGGATGTGGAACCATACTTCGTTGGGCTGGGCGGATACGACCTCTTCATCCATGATGCCGAAAAGAGCCACCCAGACCTCTTCAAGCTTGTCAATCGTGGTTCTTTGTTCGTATTTTCTGATGGCAAGGGTCTGAATGCCCAGCAAAGAGGCGACGGAACAATCATTGTCTATGCGTCAGGCCATAGGGACGAGGATTGGAGAAAGACCTGCGGATACGATTTACACAATGCGAGCGAGGTGAAGAAGGCAATTAGAGAAGAATTCAAGGATTGGGCGGAACCGCTGGTGAAGCTCACTCAGGTGGCAGACGAAAGTGACTTCACCGCTCGCTCTCTATACATTTTGCCTCCTGGACATCGATGGAAGCATAGAGCAAAGGTGACCCTCATCGGAGATGCAGCGCACCTGATGACGCCACATGCAGGCGAGGGAGTCAATGTTGCGATGGAAGACGCTCTGAATTTAGCACAGGCTATCATTCGTAGCGTCGAAATTGAAGACGCCGTTGATGCATTGGATAAGGAGATTAGCGCCTTCGAAGACGAAATGATGACAAGGGCAACAAGAGTGCAGAATCATTCATTCGCCAATACCAAAGACATGTACTTCACTCCTGGAGCGCCCCATACAGTGATAGACAATTGGGTGAGGCGGGCGATGGCTCAGCAGCTAGGGTGGGTCGTCGAGCTTGTACTTCCGCTCTGGATTGTTGGAATCATCAGACGGGGCTTCTCTTGGTGGTACAGAGTGGACTGAGGAGGGGCGGGAGGAGAGGAAATGTTTGAAATCAGTCTGAACGGAGTGGAACCGTCAAACGATAGTGCATCACAGCTAAAGTTCACAGGTAAGCAAGATCTCACGGGCTCTCGTAGTCTTATTTTGCTGGTCTCCGCACCTGGCTGCCAGCTGTCAGATTATCACATGCATGAAGTTTCTATAAGAGTACATAGGTTTCGGGTAAGCATTCTTCTCCTCTAGCCAACCTGCACTATTTACTTTGTCACGAAGACGGTCATTGACTGAAGGAGTCATCTGGAAAGGTTCTTTAGCAACTTGGGTGAAGAACACGTGCCCTCATTGCTATCAAATCAGTCAGAGATATAGTCTTCCTAGCTTTTAGCTTATGTTTTCATAGTAGTGTTTGCTGTGCAGGGTTGCGACGTTCAGGAATTGCACTGGTCGGAAGGCTCAACAGTTGCTCTGCAATCTCTAGACAAAGGAGTTGACCTCGGTTGTTTCTAATACCAGCCCTGAAAACACTCCAATGAACGCCTTTCGCGTGTATAGCAAATGATTACATACACAAGATGTTGTTTATGCCTTGCAGCTTAATACTCTCTATAAACTCTGGCAGCAGAATCCCATCCAACGTCCTATATTCTGAGCGTCGACCAACTCCAGAAGCCCTTGGGAAACCATTTCACAGCTCGTCTCGCGATTCGGCGACTTCGGGATTCGAGATGACCTTCTGGTTGATCGCAACTCTCTCTCCGGGCACCGCCCCAGCGAACGGCCCCGTCGTCAGCGAAACCGTCTCAGCGAATTCCCAGGATATCTGGATTCTGCCTACACTGGGATCGGCCAGCTGGTTAAAAGCGGCGGGACTGAGATCGAGATCGTATTGCCCCTGGCATCCGGGACATGTGTCGACGATGGCCACGGTGACGGTGGTTGAGGGGTTCGCGTTGTTCCAGACATTCACTTTGTAGCCGCAGAGTGGGTTGTTGTTGGGATTGCCGGGGTTGTAGGCTTGCATTGAGACCTCGGCCAGTGCGGCGACCAGGTCAGTATCTTGGTATTGTTGGCCGCATGAGCCGAGGCCGACGCTGGGGGAGTAGAATGTGCCGTCGCCTGTGTACACGGTTTGGGCTTGGGTTGTGAAGGAGCAAATGGACAGAAGGGTCCAGGTCAGAATGGAGGAGTGGCGAGGCATGGCTGATGTTCTTGGATGGGATCGCGTTGCGGAAAGGAAAGGTAAGCGTCTACAAGTTACAGTGTTTAGTTGAGAATGTAAAAATGATGATGTCCGCGCGAACCCTTGACTTTAGTATTCATCCCGCCATAGATGGATGGGCATTTCGCAAGGCGGAGCTTTTGCGCAGGGCTAAAGTTAGGACAGGATTCTGATTTGATGACCGCAGACCCAGCTGACAGGATCTCTTGAAACGCGAGAATCCTGCGAGATGCAGTTTGACAGCACTGAGCCATTGTAAAGGCGGTCAACCAAATACGGCTACGAAAGAAAGGCTCAGCTCGTGGTACCTTGCGGCTGTGCTAAAGACAAGTAGACCGCGGTTAATGTGGCATTACTGGTGGACCAAAGGATCTTTCCCGTACTTTCTAATGGCTCTACTGAAAATCATGTACTTCTATTTTCGTACGAATACGCTTCAAGTCATACCGTCTGCGGCAGAGAACCAACCTAGGAGTCGCATTCACATGCCTTCTTCTTCGGGAGGCTCGGCTGAGTCGCGTAGCCCACACATACAGAAAGAGTCCTTACACGCAATCCCCCAATAAGAAACCTTAATCTCAAGATCCCGAGGAGCACAAGGAACTCGGTAACATTGACCACACGCTGTTCGTGTTGAGTGGAGTGAGCACGCCCATGGCGTGCGGGTGGTAGGACTACCCATGGCTGCTCTATTCGTCAGGCTCATTTCTACAACTAGCGGCTTTGCGGGTTCTTAGATCTGAATTTCATTGCTATGCTAAAAAGAGTGCTCCACTTCTGGGGCTCTTTCCTCACAAGCTCAGATCCTGCTCATGTATTGGGTACGGACACTCATGGCTGTGTTGGGCCTACAGGTATCAAGGAAATGTCCACTTTTACGAATGACGCCTTTGAATCGCATCTTCCATTTGAGGAAATCTCCGTCTGTGACGCAAAGGACCATGGCTACAATGCCTGGGACCACTTGTTTACCCGTGAGTTCAGGTTCGACAAAGGCGTTACGCCCCGGCACTGTACTAGACCACCCGGAAATCATAGCTAACGCTTGCGAATTTTCACCGTACAATGTCTCACAGGACGCGAAAGCAAGTTATAAGTTCTAGGTGAAGGGACAGCCATACCCTATTCAGGACATGCGGGCACAAGATGTTTTTGCCAAAGATCTCGTTGGTGGCACTGTCTACCAAGCCTTCTTGGGCGCTCTCAGCTATCATCGCTGGTAGAATCGTTAAGACGTTTGTCAATGGCGGTACACACCACTCGGAACCGCTCTTCGCAACGCTTGTGGATCCCCTCGGAGCAAATAACGGCGGGGAGGGCACTGGAAAGGGCTATAACACCGCCAAAGATACCAGGGCGATGATGTTCATTGACCCAGACAAGGAGGATAGTGGACTGATGACTCTGCTGCTGCTGGTTATGCAGGAGGCCTCGACAAAATCTGTCTAAGTGATGGTAGCGAGAGCTTTACGAATTTGCCCGGTTAGAGCGACCCAGAGCGCTATTGAGATCCCTAAGGCTCAATGGCATCTTTCTCACAATCTGCTTTCAAGGGCAAAACGGTACTCTAAAACCCGTCTTAATGTACATAAAGAGTCCTGACTGAAGCCGGTTAGTTCTAGCTTATGTAACCTGCAGTCTTGTGGTGTATGGAAGTCGACAAGCTAAGCCAATCAATCTGCAGGGAAAGTGCCGAGGGAACAAGGCTGCAAGGTACCGGGAATGCTCTTTCGAACGACCGTTCCCTAGCTTTTCCTCCACTACAGCCATAAGAGTATAACCGCTCAACCCTCAATCGTATAGTCGCCAGTCGATGGAGCTGTTAAGCATTACTGCAAGCGTTATTGCAGTTCTACAAGCCACGGAAGCGGTGATCTCCGTCTGTTGCGATTACCGATCTTCCATCAAGGCTCTAGCTGGGAGGTCCCACGAGTATTGGAAGAAGCCCGCGGCCTTCGAAATGTCCTACGGAACCTCGAGGAGCTCGCAGACAAGGCCGAAACACCGGGCTCGACTGACGTATCTTGCCTGCCAGCCTTGAAATCACTATCCGATCCAAACACGGGAAGTCTAAGCAAATGCTGTACTGAGATGGTAAAATTGAAGAAGAAGCTCACCCCGTCAGGATGGAGTGGTCCCGCTGGCTCGAAGCGGAGAGGATTGGTAGAGGTATTTCGTTGGCCGTTGAAGGAGGAAAATACGGACAAGGTCCTTGTTAGCATCGGCAGTTTCAAGAGCCCAATTAACCTAGCTATTGCAGCGGACCAGACGTAGGTTTACGCGGTCTCTTGCAGAAACCTCAAGACGTCAAATAATTTTTCGAGCTGACGTTATTATCAGGACATCAGTTTAAGCTATAAAAGACAATACACAAAATATACAGGCATCTCTTTTGTTAATGACACTCGGGAAGTTTACAAGCCTGTACACTGGGTATAGTTCCCTTACTGAATCCTCCAGGTGCTCACCAGCAGAAAGTTCAGAGGTGGCTTCGTGCTGCGGATCTATCCCCGAAATACATCAAAGCATTGCGAGACAGGTAAGCAGGGACTGGTTCATGGTTGATTGATAGCGATGTGTTCAAAAGTTGGATACGGGAGCCAGATTCCCTTCTCTGGCTTCATGGTATACCTAGGTGGGTGCGGAAAAACAGTCCTTTGCTCAACAGCCATTGAAAGGATTCTGGACTCCATCGCAATACAGCTGCTGAGGGGGCGATGGCCGTAGGATATTCTTATTTTGAGTTCGACGATCGGGAGAAGCAACGCTGCGATACGATGCTACGGTCACTGATTGCTCAATTATCACTGCAAGGCCGTGAAGCTCACAAACCATTGGACAAATTGTACTCAGATTGTGGCAGAGGTGCACCAGAACCATCATCGCCTATGCTATTGAACACCCTCAGAAACACTGTGAAAAGCTTCACGGACGTTTTCATCAGTCTCGATGGGTTGGATGAATGCAAGGAAAGTGACGATCTGGCAACGAATATTGGCGAAATGGCTGGGTGGGACATTGTGGGCCTGCATACGCTGGTCACAAGCTGGCAGGAGAAAGACATAGAAGAATTACTGTCTATAGTCCTTGATGATAAGTACAAAGTCTGTATAGAAAGGGCGTTCGTCGAACGCGACATTCGGGTAAACGTTCAAGCCGGATCCGCACGGATCGGAAGCTGAAAAAGTGGCAAGTGCCAGAAGTGCAGGCTGAAATCGAAATGGTCTTGATGGAAAAGGTTGGCGACATGTGAGTCTCCACTCATTATGGTTTCATCTTCTTCAATACCATCGCTAAGCATGTCAACCAGGTTCCCATGAGTCAAATGCCAGCTCAATGCGCTGGGGCGTTGTCTGAGCCTGGCTGATCTTTGCATAGCTTTGCAATCTCTCCCAAAAGATCTACATGATACGTACGCACAAACACTGAAAGCCATCGACAGTGAAGGGTATGGTGAGCATATTGCGAAGATCGTGCAGTGGCTGGCGTATTCAACGCGGCGTATCTCCCTCACGGAAATCGCTTCATAGCTGAAAGTTGCCTTGTCTATCTTCCTCAACTTGATCGACTTCAGACCAGCTTGAAAAATTATTCTAATGTCAAGGTCAGTGAAAGGTATCCATTAGCCGGATATACAGAGAGGAAGTGGTATAAACATGCTACGAACGCTAAAGAAAAAGGGAAAATTACTCCCTTGATTAAAGAACTCTTCCTTAGTGGAGGGTACGCGGTTTCTATGTGGCTGAAACTCCGCGGGTGGAATGCTGAAGGGCTGGTCGACGCTTAGGGGACATGACTACTATTACATTGTGCATCAACGCTTAATCTACCGAAGACAACGACCCCGAGTTTATCTCGGAACGGGCTGATATCCGTTCACGAAGTCGAGCAGGCGGTCGGACCTCCTTGATGGTAGCCTCAACCTGTCTTGGTGAACATCCTGATATTGTGCAGTTGCTCCTCGACCATGGAGCTGAGGTCAATGCTCGGGATGATTTGGGTTATACAGCACCCATCTCGACATCTCAATGTGGTCAGATGCTAAAAGTGCGAACACTGCTTGATCACGGTGCTGATATAGATGCCCAAGATCAAGCAGGAGACACTGCTCTGGTCTCAGCTTCCAAAGTGTGGTCATTCTAGAATCGTGCAGCTACTGCTCGAACGGGGCGCATCCTTAGCTCTCCCCATGGCGGGAAAGCGTTGATATGTGCCTCCTTTTCTGGTAATCATGAGACTGTGCATTTTCGTCTGGGACTAGGAGCGGATGCTAATGCTGAGACTGGGACGGAATTTCCTGCACATCCGCCGTTAATATTTAGTACCGCTCTGTCAAAAGCCTTACATGGTGGTCACAATGACATCGCGGGATTGTTCTTTATGACAACACTATGGCGCTGATGTCAATGCTCGATCAACAGGCTGAGGAGCAAATGGGGTTGCTCTAGAACTCTCTTGGTAGTGACGACATGGTGCAATGCCTCCTTGAAAACGGTGCAGATCCAAAACCTGTAAGACCTTCTTGGTTTTGAAGCGAGGACACATCACGAGGCGATGCTTCCTACAATCAAAAGCCAAAGGCATCCACTGTGCGGACAGAAAGATATGGAGAAACCGAACGCAGATTTGTAGCGCCAACATTATCTTCTACATACGAAAAGTCAAGCTGAATGAGACTCTTTCCATGTCACTCTTGATTGATGACTTCGATTCCCAACATCATTTGACCGCAGCTTTTTATGACTACATTGATAACGGAACATGCTATCTACTTCCCTGGAAATAGCTTATAGCTGGGACAATTGGTTGACCCGTCTCTGGATCCATTTACCCAATCGTCGCCAGGCCAGTCGACACCACCTGCAGTGTCACAAAAGTGTACACACAAACAACGCTGCGAAATGATTCGTCCATCTTGAATGCGTCATCTGCAAAAGCTACGACCCTATCCACATAACGAGATCTCAGTTCAACGGCGGCGGCGCCTCGTTGGGCGCCGCGGGCAGTAAGTTCAAAAACGTCTTGATGGCGCCAAAGCCGAAGTCGTAGTGGTCGGTCACCCGGCCGGCTAACTTTTGTATGCTGCCTGCTTCACTGACTACAGCGAAGAAGTCTTGCATTTCTTCCGCGGTGGTTATCACGGGCATGATGGCAATGCTTTATAAATTGAATACTTGAAAGGGTCCCATAGTGAATCTGCCGCCCGTGCCGGGTGCATTTCGGTTTAGGCCTCGGGGGTGAAGTTAACGAATGTTGGAAGGGGGCATTGTGATGGCGAGATTGCTGTCTGTGTTGGACAGAGTTGAAGCGTAGGTGAAGAGAAGCATCGCCAATAGAAGGGGTAGGTGTAGAATACTGGGTAAGTGCATGGCGTACGCAGGACTGGAAGTTTCGATTAGGGGCGACTAATCCTTTTTATATTCTTGATCGCGCTTTCAAAGACGATCTGGCTAGGGTCATCCACAATAGCAGAATTGTAGGGAGGAAGGCCCTGTGACCGTCCTCGGCAGGAACCACTCTGGCTTTGTACAAAATACTTACCCGCGAGGCTGCTATATGTGTGCAACGGTCCCTTCATTAGGAGAAAGAACGCGTCGGACCATAATTGCGAGATCCCAATTATCAAAACGGTGGTGGTGTGTGGGATTTGGATACAAGGACCCTGCGCCCCCTCACGCCAAGCTGCGATGACTCGGATAAGCTTCACTTCGGAGACTTTGTGTTATATCTGCCGGTACTACGAGTACTTCAACGGCTATCTGCATCGTCCCATGTTTTAGATGGTAATCTATTAGGTCACGAAATGGAAACGGCGGCTGTCGGCTACCTTATTGTCCGTTGTAGTGGGTCAAAAACTCCCCATCATCTCATAGCTCCCATGAGCGCTAGGTTCTGTTAAACGTGGACCGAAAAGGATGACTGTGATGGAAGTACCCTGGTTGTTAGGCTGGGAAATGATGATACTGTGTCTCCCTTGGAAGACGCAGCGGTAAAAGGCCAGAGTTGACCAACTTGCCTGTTTCAAATGTTCCATAATGCCTTTCAGTTCCGGAAAGGAATTTTTCTCTCCAAAGTGGCATCTTCTGTAACGCACAGGAAATTGAATACTTGCGTCTTGCAATTCTTCGGAAACTCCCTGAGTGGTGAAATGGTATGTGAGCCAAGATTTTGATTAGTCATCATGATCCCCAACGCACTAGGGACGTTAGCGTGATTCCGCCATTCCGCAGCCTTGTCCGTGAATTTTTTTTCGTGAAAGTCAACATTTCTATTTCATCAACAAAATACTTGGAGGGAAGGCTGATAGTATATTTACCATTGAACATCAGCTCTTGTTGGCTGGAAAAGTCTTCTGTTGTCATCGACAGAGTCGCCATGTTTTTTTAAACACGACAATGTGCGAATTAAAGGCGGAGTCTTTCCTACGCAAATCGGCGTATACTGTAAAAGTCTGCACACGGGAAAGAAGGTGCAAGAGAAGCACTTGTTGTTCGTGGCAAAATCCCGTTTTTTCATTCCGACCATACATGGAACACAATGCATATAGAAGAGAAATACAACAGCACTCGTTCTTTCTCGGCTTCTCCAAAGTCTTACATTACAGCCACAATATGGTAGTTCAAGAGTCTGTTGATCTGACTTCAATCCGACAACATGGGGGATCTCACTTCGAGGAATCGAATGATCCATGTGCACTATGACGTCCCGCACTCTTGTTGTCTGTCATGGTGGAACGTAGAAAGCGTCGTACAATGGACCCACACCTCCTCGACCCATTTGGTGACCTCCATCGGACCGACAAAGGGAGCCACTCGATAGGGTGTTTGCCACTTATGTTATCGACTCATCATCTGGATGCTTAAGAAAATGGTTGTAACCCTCCTGCTTCATCCAGAAACATACGACTGTCCCTTTGATTGACGGTCAGGCCAAGGTATCGGCCTGCAAGATATCGCTTTGTGATACCCATCCATTCAGCGTCAGCATCTTTGCAAACGCTCTCTTCTTAACTTTGGGCCTCGCCAGCAGTGTGTCTTTCGACGCCACCGTGAGTGCCAACGTCCCCTTTGGTCACCATGGGTCCAGTTGATCGTTCGCAGTACGATAGCTTAACTACAGTTCCTGGAGAGGCTCTCGTTACGCTCGTGGGAATCTACAAGAGGACTTCCTATGAGAACTCTGATGTCGCCTCACTTGCCATCTCCAACGAGTCTGCTTCCAGCGTTATCCCTCACTCGGACCCGAACGTTTCTCTGGCATTCAACTCTGGCTAAACGCCACCCACTTTGACCGCTCTGCTCCCAGACTCCACGACCAAGTCTTTTTCGCTCACTGGCTTCTATTACAGCTGCGCTGCACAAGGTGGCCAAGACGCTGTCTTAGCTACCGTAGCTTGCAACATCACGGTGACTGGGTACAAGGCGGGCTCGTCGTCACCGTATACGACTCAGAATTTCCAATTTACCTCCGAGGAGCCTGTGGATGTTATGAGCCCTCTGGCATTCGGCACATTCTTGGTGAAGTTTCAGAATCTACAAGATGTCACTTTGGCTGTCGAGCCTCCTTTGCTCACTAGTGCGCATGGCTCTTGCTTGACAAAGACTGAAGAGAATGATGATGTTCGTTTCTAAAGTGAGGCTGTGGCCGAAGTACAGGCGGCGCGCATGGTTTTGGGGAGGACACCCACCTGTCTACTCAAATTTGTGTCTTCGAAGAGAGCAGCAGTGCCAATCTACTTTGGGTCTGATGGTTCGCAACACGGTGGCAGAGCGCTCAAATTGAGACTTGGCGTTCTGTCATCAAAGACGTAAGGGTGGTCAAACGTCTAGTGGTGTGTGTCCGTCGTTATCATTTCTCTTCGCAACAGAGCAGGCTCCTCGTCCATGACGGCCTTGAGAGTATTGTGAGGATGTTGTCGGCCCTTATCTACGCTTGTCCGGATATGGATTCCTAGTGGAGGCCAATCTGATTAGTGTTTTGTCTTGCAGGTCGGGCATATTGGACCTTTGCCCTCAGTCCTGAACCATCTAGGAGGAGTCGACATGATTTCGAAGGAAATATGCTGTGTGATATCGATTCGTGATGACAGCAACTGTTTGCCTTGATCTCGGAGTGGGAAAGTATCCTTTCTGTCGGAGTCGCCGTTCTCGTACAGCAAGGTTAAAGAACTCGCACAACTTTCACCTCAGGGGCAAGAAACCGGGAAATGTTTATGCATCAATGGAATGTGCTTCTCGTAACTCCCAAGCACCCCACGCTTGGATTCCAGACAGATCAGAACTCACCGGAAATGGGTAGAAATCTCCTGCACTCGTGCTACCGAGAAGTATAAAGTATCGTCTTGGCAGTCCGGCCCCGCATGTACCCACCAATTGACTTTTTCACTCAGGGGACCATAATCTGCATCGATTTGCCAAGCAGACATATTTTTCCGCCCCACGAGTATGCGCACACTTTCAATAAACCTTCCTTAGTTGCCGTCGCAGTCGGGCAAGTCAAAGCTTGGAATTTTCCGACTTCCATTCCTAGGTATCGGACAATATTCTGGAATACCCCTTACGCTCTTTCTCGTTTCATGCTTAGTTGTCTGGATTTCAAGTCGGTTGGAAGGATTGTGGACGATGTACGGCCCAAGGTGGTGGGCCTGTGACGCGCGTTAGAGCGATGGTAGGGACTAGACCATAAGTGTCTTGTTGTGAGGGGGAGCTTCTAGATAGGTGAGCGGATGACGTTTCAGGCCATGTCAGCCACAAGATTTGTGTGCAACGTAACGTGGAGAGTTGCGCAAGACTGAGTTAATGCTGTCATTTTTTCCTTTTTACAATATTTCGATCCTAGCATGCAATCGCTTCCATAGTGATGATATTAGGCCCACGCATGCAGTTCCGTTCCATCCTACAGTCTTCCAGCTTTCCATCTTACGCGTGAGAATGCGTTTCCTTCCAATCCTACAATGTGTCGCATGCAGTTATCCCCATATCCTACACTTCCCTGCCCGTTTCCCTTAGTTCAACTGCTGCAACTTGCGCTGCCACCGTCCGCACTCAGACCAACTACCTGGTAATTCATGTTGTACATACCAGCTGGACAACTAGAAGAGATGCACTCACCGCCTGTCGCGGTCATGACAACATTGCCCGCTGAGTCCAACAATTGAAGCATCTGTGCCCCGGCTTGCACTCCGGTCGGCGAACCGAAATTCAGCCCCGGATTCACACTCACGGTCGAGATCACAGAACCGTTGCTCGTGAGGCAGGCTTTCATCCCGGATGATCCGGATGGTAGGACGATCGCCCAGGTGAGAGAATCAGTGCCCGTGGACCAGCCGCTGGGTGGCGTCGCCCCGGAGCATGAGGCGTCTTGCAGGATCGTTTTGTACCACATCGATCCTACGGCCGTGGCGCCGGACGGGGGAGCCATGGTGCCGCCGGCTTTGTAGGCTTCGATGAATGATGTGACGAGGGGTTGCCAGGCAGCGTGGGGAAAGGCGGCTTGCGGCGAGGAGTACATGACCGATGAATCGGATGATTCGCTCCATACGTTTCCAATGTAGTGACTTTCGGGGCCATCATTCTGATGCTACGTTAGCTGGATTGCGAGCTAGGTGGACTTTGGGGCGGATTTACCCAGGTGATGATCTCGACGAAATCGAGCTGTGATGCAATGCCAAGGATGTTATTCATGCGAATGGGTAGATTGAGCCCGCCTGGGCGGTACAAGTTGGTACCGTACTGTTTCGTATCGGTCAGCAGCAATTCACAGTCTCTGTTTCGGGCATGTCTTACGGCATCCTTGTACTGGAGAGTGCTCAAAGCTGCGTGTTTGTTAGCGACGCTCACAGGAATGATGGATCTACGAACCGATCATGTAGCTCTTCTGACTAGCCGAGGCGCTGTTGATGACTGGCATGTCAGGAGAGAGGCTGCCGACGTCGGTGCTACTCCCATCTGCCACCGTTGGCCACGCCGCCTCCCAGCTGAAGACTCCATCGACCAGGTTGCCCCAAGTGGACCACCACTACATTGACATCAATCCGAGACCCGAGGAAAGAACGATATTGGACGACTCACCCCAGAGGTTGAGTCGTAGTAGCCATCCGTATCATCAAACATAGGAACGAAGTACATTTGGAAGTCAAGGGACACTTTCCATGCTTTGAGTACATCAGTTCCCGTAGTAGGTTCCATGTAGGATGAAGAGACTTACAATGCCAGGCATCGGGTTCGACGCCGCCAGATGAGTAGGTCGATATCATGGGCAAACCGTTGGGGCCTAGGTAAGATGCTTCATTGCTTAGGAATTGCGAAAAGATGCTGCTATAGTCGTTCGGCTGAATGCCCGTAGGATCAGGTTAAAGGTAGTCATAAATGCTGTCGATGGTTGGAGAAGCTAACCCCATTGCAGCAGGACCTCCCTGCATTGCATGCTGCACCCGATTCAGACACATCCATACTGACGAAGAGCTTGAATCCTGTGCCAGACGCATAGTCGTACAAGTATTCAAGTGTCGCGCCGACGTAGGACTCGGTTGGATCACCGATGTTCAGGGCGAATCCGTCGAGTCTAATTGGTTGTTAGAAGTCTATCGTAATCCTGAGTGATTGGCTGACTTACCCTACTGATATTGCGTTGTCGATGTCTTGTTGCGCATGGTCTTTATCCACAGTACCGACCTTTCAACTGAGGTGAGCATCGTCGTGTATAGCAGTGACGTGGTGAAAGCTACCATGTAATGCGCGAACACTGCCTTGGCTTGCGCCTTCCCAATCAGGTGTAGCACTGCCGCCGTGGTTGATAGAACGTTGGAGAGACGCATTTTGTATAGTTGGAGAAAGCTGCAATGGTGATGGAGACTCAGGTTGTTACACGTTATAGAGAAGACTGGCGAGCTCGATTAAATCCTAGAGCTGGCTCTTGCACACCGACGATCCCACCGGTCTGCTACGGCAGCTTTGTACACCACATGAGTCCGCCCTGATCCGTGAGGTGGTCGAGGCTGACGGCGTCCCTAGAGCCCTCTCTTCTCTCATTGGACGGCCGCTCGGTATGCAAAAGGACCAGGTGGGAATTTGAATACCTCCCCATTTCTAATATTTAATTTTGAGGGCCATGAGACCCATTTCGCGCTCGGCATTTCATATCCGTGAGCAGCGCCACTAATCACCCTTGACCACGAGACAGGGTGGAATGGAGATGAGGATGAACATCTGCAGAACATGCCACGGACCGTTGTGAGGGCACGAGATCCCGGGCGGGGAAGGTCTATCTTGCATCTGCAAACTATTGCCACTGATGGTCAGGGCTAGGCTTTGGTACTTGCAGTATGTACAATACAGTGCCCATTAGTTTGAAGAACCATCTTTCCGGTCAGGTTACAGAAGAGAGAGCGAGTCATCAAGGTCCCTGCTGGCTCCCCAAGGATCAGAGCGCGAGATGTGATACATTCCTCATGAGCGTCCAAGCAAGGAGACGTGGCACTTGGATTGTACATTGCAAGTTTAGCGTGGGGAGCGTGATATCACTAAGCCTTTGATGCTTTGTACAAGGAGAGCAGATGCCGCCAGAAAACATACTGCCACCCACCACCGGCTTCGGCTTTCCAGAGCAGTGACACCTGCTGAGAACTCGGAGATACTCGGCGAATTAACGCAAGACTCACCGAGCTGACTGTCAAACATCTCCGTTCGCAGTGCCTTGTTCGAGGGGCAACATGCGGCTCAAGTTCGAGGAACTGACAGACACGCGACGCTTTTTCCCCACCTCCAATATTGATTGACCATGCGGGGAAGGAGCACAAGGCTAGAGCTGTCAAACACCCATCCCACCGCAAGCCAATCATTGTTTTGTTTTGCGCTCAAACAGGCGGAAAACGGCGGTGAAGTGACATTTGCGTCGATGGAGTGAAGTGACGTGGCGGGGAAGAAAGCACAGATGATCCTTTACCTTCCCCGCATTATGCATTTTTTCTTACGATCGCACTAAGCACCCTGCATATTGGTCCTGGCATCCCGCAGAACACCTTAGATTTGCGCCTCGAGGGTTGGCGCGGTTAATTGTCGGGGGGAATCGAGGACTGGAACTTGCTTTGTGAGCTTCCATTTTCTGACATGGAGTATCACAAGACCCGTGTAAGTTTGTTAAATACCTTCCACAAGGAGTTGGCTCCTAGGGAGCCCCTGTCGCGCGTCTATTGGTTAAGCGGAAGTGACTTGTTTCAAGTAAATGAAACAAAAACACAATTGTGACCCTTTCGACTGCCGAGAAAAAGCGCGGCTACCGCGAAAACCAATGTCTCCTTTGGTTGCAAATATATAGATCATACAAAACATAGATCAAAAGCGAGATTCAGTTTGCCAACAACAAGAGATACAGTTGCGTTTGGGATGTCAACCTTTGGGATTATTAAGCTTCAGTAGTCTTTGATGCAGTGTGCTTTGGGCCACTCCACCAGTAGGAAGGTTAGGTCGCCCTACATTGCGATGGCCCGTGCAATCCCACCAAAGGGCGGACCATTCACTGTAGATACAACAGTTTTATTCCACCGGACGCGGTGCATCGCCGCTGCCAGTTGGTAAGACCTACTTCTGGTACCAGTACGATAAAGTACGGATGGAGATAATTAGGGGCCGTCCCGTCCAACAGGGAGTATTTCTGCGGGTCAGGTGCTTGCTTCAAATCATTTTCGAGCGCACCTGCACTAGGATTTCTGTGCAGCTGTTACAGCAGCCACCGCGGAACATGTGCGCCCCAGGATGAACCAACCTTCACCTTCACCTTCGATGACCGTCAGACGGCCAAGCTGGCCATTGTGCTCCGCCAGGACATTCTCATCAAGCGATTCTACTCTCTAAATCGTCCGTCGGCATATCTGCATTACTCGGTGTGGCACGGCTGATATCAACATTGTACGTCTTGCGAACCCCATGGCACGGAAGGATCCTGCTCTCCAAATTGTCGTCCTCGCCAAGCTCGGACATGTTTGTTGCGTATGGGTCTTTCCACCTCTGATTGCTGGGACCTTTGGAAGCTTTGAGATTAGAATGAAGTTGATAGTTGGTTGGTCGGCTCCACGTTCTCTGGCTACTGTTCTTGAGAGTGTCCCTTCGCCTCACACAAAACATGTTAAAAGGATGGAGAGTGGGTGAGTAGACTGCGATGATGATCACAGCGGATTCGATCCCGTGGCCAAGCATGGTCAGCCAGACCATGCAGACTCAACACGCTGGAGATAGCATCCTCGCTGTCAAGATGAGAAGATCGCTAGTATGTTGTGAACCACGTGAGATCTTCAACACCGCGAAGAACTTCCCTCGTTTGAAAGTCGTGCATTAATAGATCCCGACTACTGCGGCCCTAGGACGCTTAGCGGATGAAATGCTTGAGCCGCCAGGATTCTCGTGCACAAGACAGCAGAAACTAGAGGGCAAGTGACACCAATCTTCTTGGTGCTCATATTCAACTTGAAGATAATTGGTGTCGGATAGATCGCAAACACTCGGTCAAGGAAAGCTGAGTATGTAGGGTTCGTCAGTGATACCATTGCTATGTGTCTCCCGCAAGTTACTCACAGCCTGCGAGAACCGAAAACTCAATGAGTACGGAAGATGACCAGCACTTTAGCTTGAGGAGAAGATCCCACAATCCCTGAAGTGGCGTACATTGCGTGAAAAGTAAGATGGCGCATGTAGTCTGCTTCGCAGTATCGCTAACGCTTGGACCATGTAGGATCCACTCGTGCGACCACGCCGGGTTGAGTAGTCTTGTATATAGGCAGGCCACAGCTAGCTTTGGCAGAGCGACAGAAGTGATGACAAATCAATCCGCAATGACCTCGAGTCAGACAGCCTCCGACGTAGCTGGCAGACCAAGGTAGTACACGTATCTCTCGCACCCTGCGGCTATCGCTGCGGATGCTATGCCGGCGAAGATGAGGTTGAAAAGCTGTCATACCTGTAGACCACTTTGATGCATGCACATTTCCCCCCAAGGACTGACCATGGAAAGCAATATCCAGGAGCCATCCCTTCCGACATTACTGGTTAAGCATATGCAACCAAAGAGTCATGTGACGACTGGGAAAAGAGGTACTGCTACAAAAGACCAAACAGTGACATTGATGGTGGATCCTAGGCTCTGGTCTCCACCCGCGGGAGGCATCATTATCGCTATTGCGCCAGCACAATGTATGCCTAGCAAGTATCACAGAAGGCTCCTGGCGATGCTGCGACTGACAAGCGGACCACATAAGTCATGGAAGGTGGTCAATGTGAATACCTATGCGAGTTCGAGCGAAGCTCGAGGTTGCTGACACCCACTCGAGCTGACACTCACTCCGCTCGAGTGGGTGCAGAAATGCATCCGCTAACCCGCGCTGCCCAGTGTGACTAGGAGCCGCAATAGCAATGGCCAGAACTCTCGGAGGCACTCATTGAAAAGGAGAGAAATGTTCTTCAAGGACGTGGATTCTGGCAGAAAAGGAAACAGAACCTGGAATTGGGAATGCCAAAGAAATCAGAAGATTGAGACCTTTCTCGTGGAAAGCAACTGGCGCACCGAGTCGCAGGAGATCAAAGCTGTCACCCTTGCTCTCTGGATAATAGGAATAACTGTGCCGTCGACCAACGGCGGTCGCCATATGTTGGTAAATACCTCGGTATACTTAGTTTCATGAGGAAACGCACAATACTAGAAAATGCGGAATCTTAAATCCGATAAGTCCGATTCAACACTCAAAATTCTATGGCAACTCCGCATAATAAGGATTAATAACTCTAATTCTTTCTTGCTATCAAGGCTTATATATCGAGAAATCTAAATTATTATTTTTTAAACCTTATCGATCTATTAACGCGTAGAAATCGTATCTCTTTTATCTTATTAGATATATTATTACGAAGATACTATAGTAAAGACTATAACGAAGTTCTTAGTAAAGCGAATAATAGTAATCTTAGTAAGTTTAATATAGAAGATATAGTAGATATTTAAATAAGTAATAGTAATAGCTATAATAGTAATAGTTAGCTATATCGAATTTATCGAATTTAAAAATTTCGTATTTTCTAATATTATACGTTTTCTTATAAAACTAAATATAGTTATTATTATAAGATTTATTACTAATTATAATATTTCTAATAATATTTAAAAAAGAAGAATTCTATATATAGAAAAGATCTTTATATATTAATAACTAGATTAAATAAGTATTAATAATAATAAGTATTAACTTATTTTAATATTAATAAGAAATAGAAAAAGTAAGACTATTTATATACTATTATAATATTTCTTCTCTATAATCTTTATAATTATAATTACTCTTTTTATTATAATAAATATAAATCTAATTATATTAAGCGTATTTCTAAAAAAAAAAAGATAATCTCTTATTAATCGATATCTTATCTTTTTATTTATTCTTTTAAATCTAGATTTAATTAATTTATATTTATTAGTCTTTATAATATATTATATTTCTTATTCTTTATTATTATATCGACTAGATTCTTATCTTCTTTAATTTAAAAAAATCTCGATAATTTTTTATTACTTATAAAATTATTTTAGATATATAAAATTTATTATTAATCTCTTCTTCTAAGTTATTTTTAACTTAATAAAATATTTATATAGAAATTATAAATCTATATATATAAAGAGAGATATCTTTCTCTAAGAAATATTAGAGAAGATTTAATTTAAAATAGACTTTATAATAGCTATTATATCGAATTTTAAAGATAAAATATAAGATTTAAAAACTAATACGCTTTTAGTAACTCGATAATATTTAATTAATTATTAATAAATAAT